CCTCACCAAGGTTACCGTCAAGCCTCCATACCTTCAGCTTGGTAGCGAAACACGGCGCACTGCCAGTCAGCTAGTTACCAGCTAGTAATTAAACCCACTCCCAGCTATGCCCCAGCTCACTCTCTATCCCATTACCTATTATGTTATCTCCTTCCTCAGCCGTCCGTCTGCTATTTGATAAAAACAAAAAAATATACATATATATTATTAATAAAAATAACAAAAAAACCACTTGCTGGTGTTTCGAAATAACATAAAAAAAATTAAAAAAAAAAAGATTAAACGTTAATAAAGTTCGTCACTAAAACAATATTTTTTTTTTTAGTCTTGTCAATATGAGTTGTTGTTTGTCATGGGAAGAAAAGAAACTCGAAACTTTTGACGCGTAATACATATAAGTATCTGACGTTTATGAAGATCATTTCTATATGCATAGATGGTGTCGATCTACAGAAAATTTTCGAATTTTTTTTGATACAACAAAAATTAATAAAAGACTACTAATTTATTCTTTAAAATTATGAAAGTCTTTAATAATCTCTTTATATTCTCCTGTATATTCAAATCTCCTACTTTGCTCAGCCATATCCTTACCATCTCTCAAGAGCTCTATTGATTGCCCAGCCTAACTCATCCACGTAAAAATCTATAAATCCCTCGCACCCAAAAATTGCACCAACATCGCACGATAAAAAATATTTCCACCCTAACACTTGTGTTCCGATTCTATAGAATTCCTTCTGCCATGTTTGTTCTAGAAGATTTCCGTCGATTCTAAACCCAAGGTTTTCCCTTAAATTTTTGCCACTTTGTTTGCACATTGCCCTAAAAATTTTCACAATAAATTCATATAATGATGAAGGCGCGGTTTCAGCACGATCTTCACTCCCATAATATTGCAGGAAGAATGATCGCGAAATAAGAGGTGCTGCAAACTGTAAATGACCATCGACAACAATAAGAACTCCAGTTTTGACTAAATACCGGGTATTCTCATCAGTATCTGTAAAAGGATACATTCCATTTGAATAAATAACATCGCACAATTACTTTTGCTCACCAGAAAACGAGCGAACTTTGGGTATAGCGCGGCATTCGTTGTCAATAGACGTATTGAAACTCCGTGAATTCACATACGCAAATATATCATGGAAAGTCAATTGGTTATTTTCAGTCCGCTTAAATGCTGAGTGCGTCTAAATTTTTGAAATATTTGCCACAGAACTTTTCGACATATTTTTTTAACTCGTCACGGGTAAAATTGATATCAGTAAGACTTTTGCAATTAGATGATGGTAAGATGACAGGGGTTGAAAGTCTCGCAGAGTTAGAACTTTTATATCCGTAGGCTGTAAACATTATAATAAAAATATTTGATAATTCTTGAAGGCAACCCTTAATGATCGTCCAGAATTGATCTGCTGTTGTTTTATCCTTTTCGTCAATATCTCGATGTTCCTTGTAGATTAATTGGGCCTCATCTATTATCAAAATCGTTTTAATACGTCTACATTGTCCTACTCCAGTATATACCAATAATCTCCTTCCATAGTTTTCCAAATGATTCGAAACAATTTTCCACCCCTGCTGCCATTCCCCAAATCATCGAAATTCGTATAACCCTATAATTTGAATATTCTGGCGCTTGAACCAAGTTATGCTCCATAATTTGGGTTATTAACGTTTTTCCGGAAAAGGAACAAGTATGACTTTTTTATCCATAAGATCTTTGATCAAAAGAGGTATAATATCTAATCTTAGGCTGACATCAGGGTCATTAATATTAACACCCTCGTTAGAAAAAGGTCTTATCCTCAGATCAATAGGTAGAGACGTACCACCAAGGCCACCTAAAGAGGTTAAGAAGTTGAGGTTAGAAATATAAAATTGTGATTAAAAATACCAACTTATACATACCCTGTCGAGGCAAATAACCAAGTTTTGCAATGTCATGAGATACATCAGCGCTTCTTTGATCTAGTACAGAGATAAAGGTGATAATACATTACATATAGGAAGCGGAATAGCGAAATCATCTTTTATTGAGAGGTAAACCATTGGGAGACACTTACCAGTGATGGCGGGCGGTTCTACGATGATACGGATGTTAGTGCTAGTGGGTATTTCTTGAAAATAATCTCCAACAGATTCGAATGAATGTAACTTTACTCTTTTGTGTTCTTTTATTATCACTTCTTGATTTTCCCTGGTTTGAATAATATCGACTCTCCATAATGTCAGTTTGTTTGCGTCAATACCACCAAAGGCATTTTGATTCGCGTCTTTTATGACTGTTTTGAGATGCCCAACTGTCGCATGGTTACTACTGTAATATCAATCGGGAAAGAGTTTTTAATAGCGTCACCTTGAACGAGACAAAATATCATGATGTCGGTATATCTGTTAATGCAAAATCGAGTTAAAAATAAGGCTCAAAAATTAATTTTTCAGTAAAATACAGAATAAGGACCTTTTTTGATGCAAATTTTGCTTGGCAGGTAAGGAATTTTCATTAAAATTAGTTTGTATTGGGGATAAAATACGAGACGTTGGACAAATGTTCTATATATTATCTACAATTAATTTCTTTTATTTGCATATGATTTTGTTTACAAAAAATTATTTCTTGTTATAACATAAAAATTTTTTAAAAAAAAAAAGATGTATCCGACCATCCATAAAAACGTTATGGGCTCGCTTAAAAGAAGACGAACTTTTGCAATGAAATACTTTTGGATTGACAAACTAATACCCGCTTTTTTCGTTCCACGATGACGACATAAATTTTCGGCGGAGCTTTACTAAGGTTAATATTAATTTATTTCTGAGTTAGCAAACTTACGTATGCAAGAATTAATAATTTCTTGCCACATTGGCTCATGATTTTTAACATGTATACAATTTTATTCGATTTTCGTGTAGTTCCGGATGTATAAAATTATAATCGGAAAAAAAATAATAGTGAAACGCAAAAGCATTTAAAGTTTTGAGTTTATTCAATAAGACCCAACTCTCGAAGATGATTTGGGACGACTATGTATGGGTCCTCATAAAACCAAACGTATCTTAGAACAATATAATTTTCTTTGCAGAGTTCTTTTTTGATATGATCACGCATTAACTGCTTTTCAAATTCTTCCGGAAGTATTTTACATGTTGCTCATGTTGTTTGCCTTGTATCTCTATAGCAAATCCATACTGTGGTTAGTAGATGTCGAGTTCTAGTCCTCAAGGATGTTCGGGCGTTTTCAAGAAGTCTGGTCGACGAATGCTAGAAGGTGGACCAATAATGTTAGTTATAACTTCGCGACATAGATTTTCATGTTTATTTAAGCAATATGGGCACCATGTCTTAGAGTGCTTTATACAGTTACCCATTTTATGACCCTTGTTACACATCTATTGCATCGGAACACAGAGATTTATATATTCCGTAGAAAGACATACCTCCTTTACTGTGAGTGATTTCAAAGACCACAAGGAAAATTACAGCACATAATGAGCACCATCTTCTCATATTTTTTATTCGATAGAGGGTTGTAGACCTTTGGCACATCTTGATCGATCTTATTAAGATAATTTGAATCGACCAATCAAAACAGAGAAATTTTTTACATTTAGAATTATGATCGATAAAAAGAACGTAATATCTTGAGGGAAAATATTATTATTATTATTATTTCACAAAAATGAAGAATTTATATCTGATAATCACAGTAATAATTGTTAACGAAATAATTAGTTCTAAACATAATACTTAGTAATACGTGTGTATATTTCATTATACTTAAAATATAAAGAAGTATATATGATCCTTGCGGATTTATTCTTTTTATAATTATAAATAAATGTGATATAATTACAAATGTATAAAAATAAATAATGATAATGAAATAATTTATTGTAAATCAATTAAAGCTCTATCACCCGCATTATTTTGATCCCGTTTATATTGTGGAGGTATCTTTTCATTGATAATGCTAGCACAATACTTGCATTTGACAGCGTCTTTTGAAACTAATTCTTGACACCAAGGACATGGGTCTTCATCATCTTCTTCCTTCTTTGATTCTTTAATTCTGCTATAAGCTAAATTATCATAATATATTTATATATTTATTAATATTTTATTTATATAATTTAATGAATGGAAATTAAATATTTGAAAAAGGAAACTTACCATAAAAAATCCAAAACAACGTGCCACAAACCAAAAGGAAATTTATTACGGTGTTTAAGAATGAACCAATATTCTCGGTTCTTATGGAGGAAAATCACGTGAAATCGAATTAACATTTTTCTTTTTTTAAAAAAAAATAGAAAAATACGTCCAAATTTCTTTACTTACACCGCACCATCTTCTTGAGCCTCGGCTGGAGTATTATAAGTCGCATTTGGTGTATTTCCAGGTTTAATTACAATAAAATAATTTTCGAGATTTGAACCATGAAGAATCAAACCCAGTGGTGGTGTTAAAATATCTTTCTAAATATATTAAAAAATAAAAAATTAAGGAAAAAAAAAAACATTAAATAAAAAGAATATTTTTAAGAATTAATTACTAATATCAATTATACTTACAACAAACGATTGAACTATAGAAGTGAAAGCGGCTCCAATAATTATACCTATTTAAAATTTGGTTAAAAACGCGCTAAAATAAATAATAAAATAAAATAGAAATGGAAAGATACATTACCAATTCCTAAATCAACTACATTTCCACCTCTTTTTTTAATAAAACCTCTAAAACTTTTCCAAATACCAAGACACATATTTTCTTATTATTAAAAAAAAATAAAGTTTTTTAGAGAGAAAAATCAATTAGTCATGGAAACTCTTTCTGTACTTGAATCAAAATATTTAAAGGTCATTTGTTTACTTTTAGATTTCGTATCACAAAAAAAGGTTTAAGATTATCATCGGACTACTATTCCACTTTGTACCAACATAGATAAGATCGGTTACAGAGAACGCATTCATACATAAATTGTAACATTGCTACAGTTACTATAATTTTTTAATGTTAATGCATTGTGTACCCTTTTTAAATGTACGATTCACTTTTTTATTTATAATTTTTTTTCAAAGTTTTACTTTATAAAATTTATAAAAAGATCATTTTGATCATGTTAGTAAGAAATTTCTTTATTAACAAATTTTACGAAATAATTTTGTTATCGTTATATATAATGGTAGTTAATATAATATTTAAAAAATAAAATTGTAATATGAGACCTTTGCAATAGAAAAGGGGGAAATGGCTGGAAAAAATAAAAAATGAGTTAATGCTAAACCTGAACATATTTTGACCTAAAATCATATTTGGCTTATAAAAGTAAAATTGATTTTTCCGGCTGTTTCCCCCCCTTTCTATTTATTGCAAAGCCATATGGGAGTGTTTCTAGGAAAATCAGGTTCCGAGAAATTTTTGACTAAAATAAAGAGCTTAATACATTTTAATC